CTGGACGCGGAAAAGCTTATCGCGCGGCAAAATGCGACGCGGTAACCAATGAACATGTTAGGAGCTGTAAGCTTATTAACTACCGCGTCACATTTTGCCGCGCGGCAAGCGTTTCCGCGTCCAGTGTGCAGGAACCATAACAAATCTTAGGTCACTGTCCAACTGCACACACCATTGATCTGTTCGACTTGCTTACACTTGTTCACACTTTTTACACTTAAAATGAGATAGATATATATTTGGCGCTGAAAAGACAGAAAGCGAAGATGCTGAGTATAAAAAGTGTAAGCAAGTCGAATAGACCTCATGTTATCCCTTCCATCATGAGGGAAAGTGGAGCTCTCTTTCTGGATAGTGCTCTCTTCTCTAATTGATTCCGTCATTTATAGTGCAACTTCCGCAAATGTGCAGGTGTGTATATGTACGTACATATATGTATAAACTATTATAGTGTGCGGTACAATACGTATGTGCAGCATCGTATGCTCCATCACGCTGTTATCATATCTCCTACTCACTCCAACGATGAACTGAAAATGGCGATGAATTTGCTCTCCTTTGGCTGCTTTCAGAAATTACGCCTAGATAACTCTAGGGTGCATTTTTGCTATAATATACTCAACGTAACCTGTAGCTTAGAGTTATCTGGGCGTAATTCCTGAACGCAGCACTTGATTCTCTCTGAACATAAAGGCGCGTTCACATCTTGACGGAAAAGCAGCAGCCAATGGCTGCGTTCAGCAGAGAAAACAGCTTTGCAACTGTTGTAAAATTCTTGAATATGATTGGTTTATCCATTTAGATCCAATAAGGAACTAAGAGCAAGACCAATCATATTAAAGAATTTTACAACAGTTGCAAAGCTGCTTTTTCTGCTGAACGCAGCCAATCAGAATTCGCGCTGGTAGTCAACAATTTTGGCTTTTGTACACTGCCCGTCAATGGGCGAGTTTAAGAACGTCAAAACGGCTGGGCATGTTTATCAAGTGATTAAATATGATTGGTTGGATCTATAAATAACAACCAATTATGTTCATTTGCTTGGTGAGCAGGCTAGCCGCTTTGTCAACTTGAACACGCCCAATGATTCGCAGGGTCGTGCAGTAGCCTTGACTAATCGGCTTGATTTACTCGCAGGATCAATAACGCGCGCACTTCGAAAAA